CTGCCCCCGTGGTCACCTGCGTCACTCCAGTCTCTGCCCCCGTGGTCACCTGCGTCACTCCAATCTCTGCCCCCGTGGTCACCTGCATCACTCCAGTCTTTGCCCCTGTGGTCGCATGGCCTCTGTGTAGCCTCCCCCTCTAACCTCCTCTTAGAAGGAGAGATGAGATTGCATTCAGGGCCCACTGGATAATCCAGGATCATCTCCTCATCTCAAGATCCTTATCTGAAATCACATTTTTCCATATAAAGTCACATTCACAGTTTCCAGGAATTAGGACTAAATATTTTTGGGAGCCATTATTTTCGCCGACCACGGTCTCAAAGTCATCAATCTGTGACTCCTTTGAACTGTGGTGTTGGCAAAGAATATTGAATATACCATGGACTGCCAAAAGAACGAACAAATCTGTCTTGGAAGAAGTACAGCCAGAATGCTCATTAGAAGCAAGGATGGCGAGACTTTGTCTCATGTACTTTGGACGAGTTATCAGGGGGGACCAGTCCCTGGAGAAGAACGTCGTGCTTGGTAAAGTGGAGGGTCAGCGGAAAAGAGGAAGATCCTCAATGAGATGGATTGACTGTGGCTGCAACAATGGGCTCAGGCATAACAGTGATTATGAGGCTGGCGCAGGACTGGGCAGTGTTTCATTCTGTTGTACATAGGGTCACTATGACTCAGACCTGACTCGAAGGCACCTAACAATGATAATAACAGTCTCAAACATTTTCCTGGGCCCTGGGCGCTGTGCCTGGAGAGACTCACGTGCTGGCGACCTCCCCTCCATTCATCTCCTGCCCTAATCCTCCCCTACACTGGAGCTTCGTGTACACAGGGGGGCCCCAGTTCACCCCATCAGACTTCCAAAAGCATCGCAGCATTCACGAGCCAAAAGTGAGCTCTCTTCGTCCTCTCCAAACCTGCTCCGCGCCTACCAAAGGCATTTCCACTCTCCCAAACACGGGGGGCATGCCACCTCCCTCCCTCCTCCTCTACCCTGGCCGCTGTCCAGCCTCCAACGGCACGGAAGAGGCTCTGGGTAAACGTGGAACGAACTAATGAATGAGTGAGTGAGTGCTGGAAGCTGTTCGCACCGGTTCTCATACACATCTGTATTTTGAGTCGTTACAGTTAAGGCTTTAAAGATGAAGTGAGACATATATGGGGAAGGGGTGGGTAAACTGGGCACGGAGACCAGCCTGGAACCGCGGGGACCCGCAAGGAGGGATGAAGCGGCTGGGCGGGGGCTGGAAAGCGCGCAGGAGGGGACAAGGCCGGAAGAAGCGCTGGAGCCGGAGCCCAGGACCCCACCGCGGAGCCCACCTCCTGCGAGAGCCTTCAGCCCCGGCGCACTCGTCTCCCGCCCGGCGCAGGCCCCGCCCCGTGCCCTAAGTCCCGCCCATCTGCAGCAGACCACGCCCCGGACCCAGAAATCCCCGCCCACATACAGACTCCGCCCCGCCAGCACTCTAAGCCCCGCCCCGCATATGCGCCTTGAGCCCCACAACCAGCCGTTGCCCCGTCCGACTCCGGAAGCCGCCCTCATTGCGCAGGCGCTATGAACTCCTCCCGCGCAGGCGCCCTAGCCCTTGTCCCTCCCGGCGCCCCCGCCCTTGTCCATCCCGGCGCCCCCCGCCCCACCCCATCCCAGTCCTTCCCCTGGCCAAGGTGTCATGGTCCCGCCGCCCCTGTCGCCGTCGCTGTCGCCGCCGCTGTGCACGCTGCCGGCGGGCCCCGGGCCCCCCCGCTTCGTGTGCTACTGCGAGGAGGACGGGGACCGCGGCAGCTTCAACCTCTAGTGCGTAACGGGGTCGCGGGAGGTCGGGGGTTCGGGCGGCTCTGGGGCCGGTCCCGCCTGACAGCCCCTCCTGCCCCAGTGTGACGGACGCCGCGGAGCTCTGGAGCACCTGCTTCTCGCCAGACAACCTGCCGGCCCTCGTGGGTAACGGGCGCGCCCGGGGGGGGGGGCCTGGGGACCGCAACACCCCAGACCTACGACCCGGCCCACGGGTGGGGCGGAACGGGGGCTGGGTTCCTCGGGAGGGGCAGGGCGTCCCCCTAGGGCTCTGGGGCTGCAGTCTTGACACTAGTCTGGGGTCCCAGGAGGCTCTGACACCCCAGGAAGATTGGGGTGTTCCCGATGGAGCTGGGCCAAGTCAGGTCTGAGCACTCCTTCAGGCGCTGGAGTCCCCAGAAGCTTCTGGGGTCCCAGGCAGCTTTGGGGTCCGGCAGTCCGTGACAAGCCCCTGTGCCCTGCAGAAGGCTCGTTTTGGCCTGAGTGCAGCTGAGGACATCACGCCCCGGTTCAGGTGAGCCCGCGAGCAGGGAATACGGCCGGGCAGGAGCAAGGGCGTCTGCCCCAGCACTCAGCATCCTCCTTTCCCAGGGCAGCCTGTGAGCGGCAAGGTGTGACCCTGACTCTGCAGGAGGACATCGCATCCCTGACGCTTTCCGGTGGGCCCTGGACCCTGACTTTTGACCTCTCAAAGGTGCCGGGCCCAGAGGCAGCCCCCAGGTTGCAGGCGCTAACACTGGGCCTGGCAGAGCGTGTGTGCAGGCTGGAGCGGCGGCTGGCAGGTGGGGTGGGAGGGTGGGACCCGCACCCTCACTAGGTCCCCTGTGCATGCCTCATTCCTGGCACCGAGCGGGCACCCCCTGGCTTTCTTCCTCAGCTGCCGAGGAGACAGCTGCCAGCCCCAAGAAGAGCCCCCCACGGCCGGGGCCTCAGCTCTTTCTACCAGGTAAGGTGCACACCCTTCAGCATTTGATCCAGGCTGGGGCCGTGTTCTTTCCTCTAGGACTCAGTTTCCCCAGAACAAGTCCACCCTGAGCCTCATGCTCCAGACATAGGACTGTCGCTGAGGGTGCTGCTGGGATCAGGAGCCCTCCATCCTGTTTTCCCACAGACCCCGATCCTCAGAGGGGTGGCCCTGGACCTGGGGTCAGGAGACGGTGCCCTGGGGAGTCCCTCATCAATCCGGGCTTCAAGAGGTACCTGCCCACCACGCCTCCGCCCTGCACCCGGGCCTGGACCCTCCGCCCTGTACCTGGGCCTGGCCTGGGCCAGCCCTGCACGCCCCCGCGTAATGGCACACTCTCTCTCCGATTCCCAGTAAGAAACCGGCCAGTGGTGTGGACTTTGACGATGCCTGAAGGTACAGCAAAAAGTGTGACCCGACCAGGAATCCACCTGGAGGGGAGGGGCAGTCCTCTGGAGACCCCCTTCCACCTCCCCACCCCCGTCACCGCCATTGCCGCTGTCCTCCTGCTGCCGGCCCACCAGGCTGTTCCTCAAGCTCCTTCCCTACCAAATAAACGGAGCCCTGTTGGCGCAGTGGTTAAAAGATTGGCTGCTAACCAAAAGGTCAGCAGTTCGAATCCACTACCTGCTTCTTGGAAACCCTACCGGGCAGTTCCGCTCTGTGCTTAGGGTCGCTATGAGCCGGAACCAACCCCACTGCAACAGGTTTGGGTTTTTTTTTTTTTCAGCCCTCGGGGGAGGTGTGGGGCCAGGCTCACTCCTTGGGGGCTGGCTTGGGGGCGGGGCCATAGGACATAAGCAGATTGCGTCATGGCGTCATGGCTCAAACTTGTGGCTGCTTGTGCTCCCGGGAGGAGGCTCCTGGTCACTAGGTCTTCGAGAGATCGAGCCTCGGCTCTTGCAGACCCTGCCCAGTTCTCCCCGCCCGTCCAGCCAGCGCAAGGCAGGCCCAGAGCTACCCAAGTGGGTGACACTACTCCCACCGCCACCCGGCACGCATCCTGCCCTGCACACCCCACGCCGACAGAACCCGCCCGGACGGCCACATACCATGCAAGGATGCATGCTGCAGGGCCTGGGCAGTTACCGGCTGGAACGGCTCCCACCGCGAGTCCGACAGAGGCGGCAGCCACCGGATGGGGCAATGTTGAGGAATGTGGGCCAGCCCGCGCCCATCTGGCCCGAGCCCCGGGGAGTCCAGGGCTGCGCCCTGGCTCCCCACCCTCCTCGGCCATCCTGCCGCCCTGCCCTGCCCTGGCCTGACTGGTTTGGGAAACCAATCCAGTTCCCACGATCCCTGTCGCCGGCCCGAGGCGACTACAGGAGGCTCCGAGCCCCAGCTTTTGCCCGGCGTGGGGAAAGGGCTGCGTCTCCCTCCCCCCACGCACTCGCTCTCCTGCCCCAGCCGTTCTGGGCCCGTCAGTTGGTGCTGAGATTCACACGGTGGGGCTTGGGGGTAGCAGTGATCATGGGCTCTGGGCCCTCGGTCGTGAGGACACGCACACTCGGGCCCGGGTGCCTTGATGGGGCTACGGACAAGTGGGCATGGGGGCGGCGGGCGGGGAGGCTGGCCCGTAGGGAGACGTGAGTGGCTAGCGGGGTCGCACGGCCGGTCGGTAGGCCGCCAGGATCTCCGCGCTGTGCGGACACGTGTACTTGAACTCCTTTTCTTGCAGCGCGCTGTCCAGGTAGCGGCGGACGCCGCGCAGTTCGCCGGGGATGGGCGCCTGACGGAAGTGCGCGCACACCGTCTGGGGAAGGGCAAGGGTTAGGCCCTCGCGCGCCCGCTCCCTGCTGCTCGCGCCCCGCGCCCTTTCACCCGCGCCCCGCGCTCACGTCCACGATGTGCAGCTTGGGCAGCAGCCCGCAGTCAGCCAGCGTGAGGCGGTCGCCATCCAGGAAGCGGCGGCGCGATTCGCGCAGCTGCGGCTCGAGCTCCAGCTCGTGCTCCCGGGGCGCGCGCAGATAGCCGTCCAGCCGGACCAGGGCACGCAACAGTTGCTGGTACAGGGCTAGGGGATTGGGGGCGGTGAGGACCCGGTCGCGGCACACCCTCCCGGCCGGCCTGCTCCTGCCCGGCTCACCGTCGTCCTGCGCGGGCACCGGGTTCTTGATGAACGCGGAGAACTTGTGGAAGACGTCGTTGCCGGCTGTACTGGACTCCGGGCAGCGGGGCGCCAGACTGGGGAAGCTGCGGGCGGGGCGGGTGGGGACGCTCCATCAGACCTCGTCAGGCACCCCCCTTGCGCCCCGCCAGCTTCGTCCTGGGTCGTCCTCCCGCCCGGGGTCCATCGCTGCCCCCCGCCAGCCCGGGGCCCTCACTCAGGCGGCCCCAGCGTCTCCTCCAGAAATTCCTCGATCTGCAACGTGTCCGTCTTGGCGTCGCCGTCGTAGAGCAAGATGGGCAGCTGCGAGCCCGGGGCGAAGTCCTTCAGCACGTCCGCGGACCTGCGGCACAGGAGGAGGGAGGGCGCTGGCCCAGTGGCGCGGAGGCCCGGGAAGGGTCGCGGACCGGGGGCGGGCTCACCTCCGAACATCCACGGTGGTGAGCGTGAAGGGCACGCCCTTGAGGAGCAGGATCATGAAAAGCCGCTGGCAGGAAGGGCAGTGCCCCACGCTCTCGCCGTCCTCGCTCGCCTGCATGGGCGGAGCAGGGGGTCAGGGCAGGAAGCAGCCCCAGGAATCCACCAATAGGCCGGGTGGGAGCAGTGCCAGGGCTGGCTGGTCGGACAGGACCGAGCCAAGAGGGCCCTTGAGTTGGAGAGGGTGCAGAGCTGCCAGGGTGGGGTGGGACCTCGGCCTCTCAAACTTTATCTTCAGAGCCTGGGCAGAGGCCAGGCCCCCCCCCCCCCCGGGGCTCCAGGCCTGGCGGCTGGCGGCAGGGTGGGGTGGGCTGGCGAACTGTTTTCTCAGTGATTCACGCAGTGGAGCCGGGCACCTCGGCTGGCACCACACTGACTCCCTGCACCCCCAAGGTGGGGAGGGGTGGAGGCTGGCACCACACTGACTCCCCACACCCCCAAGGCACAGACCCCAAGAATGGGCGCAGACCTGAGGCTGCTGGGCCCAACCCCTCCTCACCTCCTTACACTGACCCCAAGCTCCAGGGCCTCAGCCTGGCTGGCACCTCCCCACTAGGGGCCTTTTCCCCAGAGTGCTGGGCTGGGCCCAGAACCAGACTGCGAGTGGGGACACTCCCCCACTTTGGGGGTGACTCACTGGGGATCTTCTCCCCCAGGCTGCCCCCACTTTACTCATCCTCCAAAGGGCTGCCTGAGTCCCTGAGCCCACCGAGCAGGAGGGGCTCAGCCACTGTCTGGGAGACCCCCTCAGCCCGCTCCAGAGAGCTCAGCCTCCTCCCCGTGGCCCTGTCCCCCAGCCCGACCCGCCTGGCACCTTGACAAACAGCTGGAGCTTGCCGGTCTCGGCCATGGCAGACGGCTGAGGCTGTGAACACTGACACGGGGCACATGGCGCAGACCTGCGCTCTTTAAGGCTCTCTGACTGCCCCGCCCTCCCTGGAGCCGCCCCCGCCCCCACCAGATACTTAGGCGGGAGGTGAGGCTGCAGAGATTCGGAACCGGCTTCGCAGGAAGGTGTGTGCAGGAGGCTGAGCTCCAGGGTGTGACTGTGGGGGGGAAATTGGGTGTTCGGGGCTAACCCGAGATGGAGACCAGGCAGCTGGTGCAGGCTGAGTGCCCAGGGCTGGGGATCTGGTTCAGGGCAACCAGTGGAATGGGTTCTAGAACAGTGGACTGAAAGGTGGAGGAGGGGGGTGCCGCCAGTTGGAGGGGGCACAGCTCTGGATCAGGCGCCCCCCACCATGGACCCTAGCCCAGGATCTGCACCCAGGACCCTCTGCAAGAAGCACCTGCTGTCAATCAGGGCCCCAGCCCAGAAAGCCGAGTAGTCTGCTTACTGGGGGGAGAGGGGCAATGAATCGCCTAGCCTTAGTTCCCCTATCCGCACTATCTGCATTACAGGTGATGAGACCTCCTGGAAGGGACGCGCTCAGCAAGGCAGAGCTGGCCGGGCCAGGTCAGGTAGTGTCGCAGACAGGCCTGCGCTCCTGCTTAGGGCAGCGCCCCGTTCTCCAGCCCGCCAGTCTAGGAGATGAGCCTGGCTTTCAAGCCTGCGGTGGAGGCGCGCTCCACCCTGTCCTCCCACGCAGGCCTAGCGCGGGCTTTTCTTTCTCCACGAACCTTTTCAAAAGAAGCATCGGGAGGAGAGTTAGATCCTCAACTTGCTGAAGACCCTCAACAACCTGGGCTCACGCCCCGCGGTCCCCCACCCTGCCCTCCTCCTGGCGCCTGGGGGAAGGGGAGCAGCCCCAGGGTCCCCCGGAGGGGAGACGTCCTCCCGGCAGGGCGCCCGTGGAGGCTCGGCTGCCGCCCAGTGGCCGCAAGCTGCATAACCGGGAGCCCGCGCGTCCTGCTCTCCCGGCCAGCCGAGCTCCCCAGGCCCGCCCGCCCGCTCTGCCCGCTCTCCCGCCGCCTCCTCGCTAAGGGCCCTGGTCCCCGAGCCCTGGGCTCCTGTTGCCGGATCAAGTCTCCAGGGCCTTCCCGGCGGCTGTCCCACACCCCAAGTGCCCCCTCCTCTCCAGCACGCGGTCAGGGCTCCGGGGCACCGACCAGCGCGCGGGGCCTCGGGTGGCCGTGTAGTCGCGTCCTGCGCTCCAGCTACATCCCTGGAGCCTCAGTTTTCCCGTCCACCCCGACTCTGTGAAGATTCCGTGCGCCACCGTTTAAGCTGCGCCAACACTCTCAGTGCCACTGTTGGTGGCTCGTCCGTGTGGTTTCTGCTTCCCTCGCAGATGTCTGGGTCGTCTAGTGCTGCTGTAACGGAAATACCACCAGTGAAGGGCTTTAACAAAGAGAAGTTTATTTCCTCACAGTAGAGTAGGCTAAAAGTCCAAATTCAGGGCATGAGCTCCAGGAGAAGGCTTTCTGTCTCTGTCGGCTCTGGAGGAAGGTCCTCCTTGTCATCAGTCTTCCCGTGGTCTGGGAGCTTCTCTGCGCAGGAACCTCAGGTCCAAAGGACTTGCTCTGCTTCCGGCACTGCTTTCTTGGTGGTAGGAGGTTCCCATGTGTCTCTGCTCGCTTCTCTCTTTTATATCTCGAAAGAGATTGGCTTAAGACACTATCCAATCTTGTGTAACTCATCAGTATAACTGCCGCTAATCCATCTTATTACATCATGCTGATAGAGTTTACAACACACAAGGATATCACATCAGATTACAGAATGGCACACAATTATACAATACTGGGAATCATGACCCAGCCAAGCTGACAGATATTTTTGGGGGACACAGTTTAACCCATGACAGCAGACAAATAGCCAACCCTAGAAAAGCAGCCCGAAGACCTGCACACCTGTACCTGTTCACCATGTGTTCTGTGTGCGCGTACAGTTTTATGTATGTATAGATAATATACAGTATAGAACTTATATAGTTATATACATATACAGTTACATGGGTGTAATATATATAGTTATATGGATGAAATATATGTAGTTTCTTTTTAACCCTAAAGAGAAACCCCGTACACTTGAAGCAATAACTACCCCCAGCCCCTGGAGCCACGATTTTCCTTTCTTTCTATGCATTTGCCTAGTCTAGATATTGCGTATAAATGGGATCATACAGCATTTGTCCTTTGGCGTCTGATTTGTTTTCACTCAGCATCTAGGTCCCATTCATGTTGTGGCGTGAGTCAGCACTCCATTTCCCTTTATGATTGAGTAGTCCATTGTCTGCAGAGATGACACATTTTAATCAGTCTGCCTGTTGCTGGACAATTGGGTCGTTTCCCCTGTTGGCTGTTAGGAAGAACGCTGCAGGGAGCATTGGTGTGCACATATCTGAGACCCTGCTTTCAGTTCCTTTGGGTATATACCTAGGAGTGGAATTGCTGGGTCATACAGTGATTCTGTGTTTAGCTTTTTGAGGAACCACCAGACTGTAGAGCTGTCATTTTAAGATGGGGGTTAGATCCTGTTTAGGGCCCTGGCTCCGCGCTCTGTCAGGGAAGGGTCAGAGGGAGCAGAAAGATTCAGCTCTTCTGCTCCCCGACCTGCCCCTCCCGGGGCACAGGGTCCTGGAGCCGGGAGCAGGCTCAGCTTAGTGACCCCCTCTCCAAGGCATTTCAGGGTCATCCGGAGCAGGGCCTTGTCCCGGTGAAGAACAGATATGTGGGGCTGCAGACACCTTCTGCCTCCGTCTGGGGCCGGGACTGTGTGGCGGCTTTGCACTGACTGAGCCAGGGGGCTTCCCAATGTGGAGGCTGGCCAGCCTTTAGGGGCTGCAGCCAGTGCTCGGGGTCCAGTCAGGGTGGCCGGGCCGTGTGCTACTGGGGCACGGGTAGGGCCTGGAAGATGGGGGTGGGGTGCGGGGTGGTAGGGGTGAGCTGAGGGCTCATGCTTCGCCCACCTCCAGCTCCCAGGGACTTGGTATGTGAAGGCCATGGTGGCCGACAAGGACCTTCCTGCAGAAAAGAGGCCCAAGAAGGTGTCCCCCGTAATGATGACTGTCCTGGAGGGTAGGGACCTGGAGGCCTTGTTCACTTTCCTGAGAATCTCAGCTCCTCCCCCACTGGCTCAGAGGCTTCCTCTCTCCCACCCTACGCAGCCCCACCTGCTGCTCCTCTGCCCACGAAGCATTTGAATTCTTGCGCGTTGGTAAATAGACGTCTCAGGTTCGTCACCTAACTTTGAGGGAAGGAGTCCCAGGTGTGCTCCAATACTCGGGAGCAGGTGGCAATGAAATTGTGGGGACACCTGAGCAGAGGGTCACCTGGGCCAGGTGAACTGAGGACGGTGTAGGTGTGCTGCTTCCCGTTTCCCAGGACGCAGCATCAGTGCCACAGCGAGAGTTGTGATGGGGAGAACGGAGAGGGGGGGAACCCGGCAAATACAGCACCCTGAGTCTGGCCTCCTCCCCCGCCTCCCCACCCCACCCCCAGCCCCATCCATCCCCAGAGAGTACCCAGGGTGGCCTTCCGGCCTGGGTGTCCCTGCTCTGTCCAGACCCTAGAACGTGCTAACCTTCACCTCCCCAGGCTTGCTGCCCCAGGATGCAGTGACCTGACATCAGACCCCAGGTATGGCGGCTTCATCCGCAGCAAGGACTGGCTGATCACCCCGTCCCCTTGGGTGGTCCTAGCTGTTTACCTGGCAGGAACATGGGGGTTAGGGATTGGGGAGGGATGGAAGCATAGCCTCGGGTCAGGGACCGGTGTCCAGCTGCCCTGAGCTGAAATGGCCAAGCTCCAACCTCTGGCACCCTCTGCCCTGACCCACCTCATGTCTCCATGAGTGGATGGGGACACTTCCCCCAGGAGGTGGCTCTCTCCCAGTAACTGGAGTCCATGGTGGTGGGGAATAGCAAGAGCTCCGGCTCCTGCCAAGCTAGGGGTTCTGGGGGCCTGGCCCTCTGTACAGTGAGGGCAGCCTAGAATCCGGAATGTTCTAGGTTCTTTCTTAAGAGCTCCGAATGTTTTCTCTAGGGATGAAGACACTGAAGACCAATTTCCTCTCTGCCCTCAGATGGGAGCAGAAAGCCGACGCAGCTCCAGGAGCTGCCTGAAGGACCATCACACCCTTTACTTTGAAGGTGGCTGCTGCAAGAAAACCTTCTGCACGGCAAAGCTCAGGGGTGAGGGGCTTCCGGCCATCCCCTCCATCTCTGTCCCAGGGAGCTGGGGCCCAGCACCAGCCACGCACTGGTTCCAGGGAAGGTGGTCCTGCACTGGCCTCTGCCCTCAGCACGGTGGGCCTGGGACTCCCTGTCTGAGCTCCCTGCAGGGGTACCTGGGTGGGGGACACCACGGGTGGGGCAGGACTATGGGGGGACAGGTCATGGAGGGGACTCCCATTGCTGCTGCAGCTACAATGCACATCCCCGGGGGTCTCTGGGACTGGGGCTGGGGTCAGTGTGAGACGGGGTGAGCTCTGCTGCTAGACCTTCGTGAAGGAGGGACCCCAGTCCCAGTGCATGTTAGCTCCCACGGTGCTTGGGATGAGGCCCCCAGACCAGGGCCAGGATCCTGAGTGTGGCTTTGGGGGCCACGCAAACCCCCAGAGGAGCCGCTCTGTGGCTGGGGTCTTGCCCCCATAGCCCCATCCTCGGGCGTGCTCTGCTGGCTGTGATCGCTGGCTCATCACGATCTGTCCCACCCAGAGCTCTGGGCTTCCGTTCAGGAGGGGTTCTCCTCTACAGAACTGCCGCTGTGCTGGAGGCGGCATCTCCCCACGTCTGCCCCTCGGAGGCTTCTCGTCGTTGTTGTTAGGTGCCATCAAGTCGGTTCCGACTCATAGCGACCCTATGCGCCACAGAACAAAACACTGCCTGGTCCCGCGCCATGCTCATAATCATTGTTACGCTTGAGCCCATTGTTGCAGTCACTGTGTCCATCCATCCCGTTGAGGGT